TGTTGCTGTTGCTGTTGTTGTTGTTGTTGTTGTTGTTGTTGTTGTTGTTGTTGTTGTTGTTGTTGTTGTTGTTGTTGTTGTTGTTGTTGTTGTTGTTGTTGTTGCTGCTGCTGCTGCTGCTGCTGCTGCTGTTGCTGTTGCTGTTGCTGTTGCTGTTGCTGTTGCTGTTGTTGCAAACACTTCGGCCACACTTTGATATACTGCCGTCTTTGAGAATTGTGAGTATTTAGTGGGCACATTCTCCCAGAAAGTTTTCGAGTTTTCTCTCACAGCATTTTCCCCATTGCGATAGCATTATGAGTGAAATTATAATAGTTTTAATTGACAACATTTTAATTGCGCGGTCTTTATCTGCTGTTTAAAGAGATTTTCAAACTTTTTTTTACAACGGTTGAAGAAACCACTTTATATAATAACTACAGTGAAACACGCAATTTGATTGGTCAATAGCCGTGCAGGATCAGGCTTTCCTGCACGAGGAATTAAAATGCCTTCGCGGGATTTTTGCGTGATTCTCAAAATGCCATTGTTTCATTGTAGTTATTTTATAAAACAATTAGCAAATGGTTTTCCAAGCAGGATAGTGTGATCCATGCACTTGGGCACATGTTGCTCGACTATTGGAAAGCGTAAAAATACACTCGCCTGCGGCTCGAGTATTTTTACGCTTTCCGAAAGTCTCGCGACATCCCTCGTATGCACGGAAAACCATTTGGTATTCCTTTAATCCGGTGCTGAGATTTACACGCGCGGTGTTGATTATACATGTACCACGTGATGACCTTTTTGGTCACGCTTTTGAACTTCAACGAAGTTGGAGTAAAACCATTGCCTTGATATGGTAAAACCATTGTCTCGTCCCAAAGGGAATACTTGTCTCTTGGGTCATTGTGTTGTTGCTTTGTTGTGTTTGCCCCACTTGGCAAGATGGCGTCGCGAACCCCCAAAAGGCGTATTATACTATGTTCATTTTTGTATGTTTTGTTTATAGTTCCAAATGGAAGGTCTGCTGTCCGTCGCTCTTGAGCATAACCGAGCGTCGTTTATAATATCCTGCATCGGAAAACTTGGAGAAGACAGTAAGTTATTCCAGTTTGCTGGCTGTTCAAGTCAGGACAATCATATAGTCTATCAAGAAATGATGATCTGGAAACTGAACAGAAATAATTGGGTTATGTTTTGTCTGAGTTTATGTTAATTTGTGCACGGTCACTGTAATTGAACTTCTTTCATTCTCGTGTAACTAGAAAATACATGCATGCAGAAACCCTCGTCTTTCTGAATTCCAAACATGAAGTATTGTCATGGTTACACGATATTATAAGAATAGTTTTAAAATTGAAAAATTCCCCCAAAATATCACTTTTAATTATGAAATGATCAATTTCCCAAACATATATATGCTAGGTATGTTATTATACGTATTATAATATAGGATTTGTAAAGTCTGAACGCTGATTGGCTAAGAGCCGTGTTGATATAACTCAATGTCAACACGGGAAATTTTCCGCCGCTTGTAAACACGGGAATTTTTCTTATCCTTCGGGCTTTTGACATTGCTATATTATAAAAAAAATATAAAACATTTTTTCCGTATTGATATATAGTTCTATCAACACTCGTGGAAGTTGGGAGAACTCGAAATTGTATGAAAACACTCCGCCCTTCGGGCGTCGTGTTTCCACACAATTTCTCGTTTTCCCAATTCCACTCGTGTTGATATAACTGTATATCAACACGGGAAATGTTTTATATTTGTTAAATATAAGCTTCAATTTAATGTAAAATTCAACCACAAACGCTTCGCAAAACGTTTTAAAATGTTCTTAAAACTAAAAGCAAACAATAATCAAATTAAAAACAAACTTACCTTCATTAACGCCGGCGACTTTGCTCCATTCTTTTAGACGTTTTCAGACGGTTTTTGGCTCTCAAAAAGGTTTTGAAATTTGCAAAATCTTGCAAAGACCGAGGCAAAAACACAATATATTTGCTGATTTGCAAGAAATGTTTGTTATTTCGCTGTCGTCATTTGTCATACAACAACAAATTTTAAATTTCACCAATCAGTGTTCGCTATTCATGACGGTCCGCCACATATTTTGAGATCAGTGAGGATGACCTCCCACTCCACACCGTTGGTCACGCTCGCGATCATTGATGAACTTTAGACTTCGCTAATGCTTTCGTTTCCCCGGGTGTAAATAGCCGGGCGGAATTAATACCCTCGCCCCGGTTTTACGCCCGGAACGGCTCCGCACCGTTGGCTCGGGGATTAAGTAATCGTCCAATAGGGATAGTTGAGATGAAACGTGCTACCACGATGAATAATATTCAATGAAGTTGAGACAAATAATTTGTGTTCGATGAGGTACAGTTCAACACCAAACAAATGTCTTCTATTTTGTGGCTTTGAAGTTTTCCGGGCTTCCAAGACCATCATATCTTGACCGACTATAATGGGACATTTATCATTTATAGACCTGGAGCGAGGGGGATTCGGCGAAATATTACACGAAGTGATGATGTTGTACAAGGGGCATTATACCGAAAATTAAAAGCCTCCAAGTTGAGAATGTAAAACTTGCCAGTTGCCACATACCTTCGTGAATTCGATGTTTTATTTTTGGAGTAACGCAAGTATTGTCGCTTTTCTTTCGAATCATATATCGTTTGGAATATTGACGACAACATTTTTCAAAATTTGCTTCAAACATTTCAAAAAACCCGATTAAAGATTTAATAATTCATCACTCCTTGTATATTTTATCGGCCATCTTGTTTGCGTGATCGCCGCGCGTGGTTTACGCGAATCATGTCACCCAGGTGACATGATCAAATCATCATGTGATATGATTCAAGTCACTCGCTCACGTCAAATACGATGACGTAAGGCGCGATTCGATGATAAATTTCACGCTTACGCGGCACAAACTTAGCTTTCTGATTGGACACTTTGAATTTGAGGTATAATATTTATCTAATCTAAATAGACCACTATGATAATGCACCTGAGAAGTAGTTCTGTTGGATCTCAATTTCTCGCTCGTCTCGGAAAACATTGAGACACTCGACGAAACAAAACTATTTCCCTCAGGAGCAGAGATTAAGTGTAGAATATCTCAAAAACAAAGCGGGGATTAGTTATCAGTTCCAACGTTCTTTAAAATAAGATGTTAAAAATTGAGATTTTAATAGCGCTTTATGACGTAATTCTTGTTTTGTGCCATCTTAACAGGTTTTGCAATCTTTTTTGCAGATGTGACTTACGCTGGTTGTAGTTTGCGCATCATTTTGGAATGGGCCTGGGACCAAGTATTTCAAATCAAACAACATTTGGATCAGCTATGTAAGTGTAAAAAGCACTCTCACACTTGCCTTTTATATAGTTATTTTAATATAAATAACGCAACATAAATTTACATGTTGTCCGTTTTATCCCAACTAATTTCCGATTGCCCTACACGTGTCTTTTTAATCGTCTCACCACGTGACAGCTCACGTGACAGCTCACGTGATTATAACAGAACCAATAATGTTATTAAAAGTAAATAAATGTATAATGTAAAACGTCATGCACTAGATTAATGTTTTCTACATCCTCCCCCACCGGAAAGATTCGCTAACAGTTTAAATGTTTCGCTATGTATACTGTTCGCGAATTCTCCGCAAGTTTTCTCCATCGATCGCTGCCTTCCTCGTTGGTCTTCTACTTCCTTTTCGCTCATCCGCTCTTGACTCGGTCTCAGTCGTGTTATGCTGTTCTGCGTTCCTATCATTGTCATCCCCTTTATGCTTGTCGACGTCATCCTGGACGATCTCGAAAGGTATTAGCTTTTGTAACGGTCTGTGAACCGACGACTGAGCTCCACCCTTTGATAGAACCTTCAATTTAGCTCCCCTGACCAGTCCATCACGTCCTTTCACCAGCTGCAAGACTCTTCCAATCCTCCACTGTGCCCGAGGTGCTGGTTCATCCTCTTTAATCAAAACAACATCACCAACGGTCAGACCTCGCGTATTGGTTTTCCTTTTCCGGTAGAGGTTCATTTGTCTCAGCTCGTTCAAATATTCTTTTCGAAACCGCGTCCAACAATCTCTCAATATTTTCCGTAAGTGTTTCAACCGCTGTTTGTACTGTCCAAGGCTCGCCGTAAGTATGGTATCCGTGTTTTTCATCCGATTGCAGTAGCCTCGACCGTACATCAGGTGGAATGGCGTCAAAGGTTCGTCCAAATCATCCTCGCTGACATACGTAAGTGGCCGATTGTTGATTGCCACTTCTACTTCGCACAAGATTGTCTGCAGCTCTTCGAATGTCGTATATGCTCTCCCGAGAGTCTTCTTTAAACAACCCTTAACTGTCCGGACGAGTCGCTCGTAAAAGCCACCCCACCATGGGGACGCTGGTAGAATAAACTGTTGCCGAATGCCTTGATATGACATGAATCGTTTGACCTCCGCTGACTTGAAAGTCTTAAAGTTGTCGTTGATAATGACATCCGGCACACCCCTACGAGCTACAAATCTCCGAATCCTCGCAAAAATCCGTCACTTGACATCGAGTAGACCAGTTCGAGGTGGATCGCTCTGCTTGTGGCACACGTTAGCAGTAGAATGTACGTCTTGACCGTTTCTGCACCATCTTTCACAAACAACGGTCCAGCAAAATCCAAGCCCGTCGCTTGAAACGCGAATCCCGAATGATCGATTCTACACTGTGGCAGATCAGGACTAGCAGGAGCACACATCGGCTTTCCTTGGTACCGTTTGCAAATCACACATTTTCTGAGGACTTCCTTGACACTTTTTCTCCCTTTCACAATCCAGTAGTTTGACCGTACTCTTGCCAATGTCGACTTCACTCCGTGGTGCATACTCGCCTTATGCGCGTCCCAAATGACTAATTGTGTGAAATAGCTTTCGTTTCCTCGTAATATCATTGGATGCTGGTCTTGGTACCGCAGATTAGAATTAGCGAACCGTCCCTTTAACCGTAAAAATCCGTCTTTGTCTTCGAACAAATTCAATGAAGCACAAACGTTAGCAAAATTTGATTGTCCCTTTATCAGAGATTGTTCTTCTTTAATCCACATGTGTAACGCTTGCTCGTATTCGTCAGCCGTTAGAACGTTCTCCGTGATTAAGTTTCCATGGTTCTTCGTTCGTTTTCGCAAATTGTTCAAGAATCTTATCACGTAACCAGTGGTGACAACCAACTTGTTCAACGAGCTATACCGAGTGCAGTCTATGACATCAGACAATGAACACGTTTCGCCTGGTATGTCATTCCGTGTTGCGTTGTTGAAAAGAACATCAGAAGAATGACTAACCTCTTCCACAACCTTCCCGCCCAAAGACGTTTGATCACAAAGAGTATCACTTCTCTCGCCTCTGTATGCAGAAGGTTGAGACAACAACACCGAAGGACCAGTAAACCAACATCCTGAGAAACACTCAACTAGACTAGTTGATATCCTAGTGGGGATATCTGCAGGATTCAGTTCTCCTTTAACAAAATTCCACCGCTCACGATCGACAACCTTTCTAATGGTGACAACTCTATTTTCCACCCAAGGTTCCCAGCTTCGCTCCTTTCCCCTTATCCAACTCAACGCCACCTCTGAATCCGACCAACAGAATATTTCATCCAACTCTACA